TTTATTTCGTTTTAACTAACAGTTATTAAAATGCCTTTCTGCAATCACCTCAATGAGGGATAATGGATCAATTACATAAAGACATTTAAATGTACTTAATCAATAAAATGTTACAAAATTACGCAGCTTTAAAAACTTTCAACTTTCTATTGTGTGCAAAATATTTATTCTATGGAGTGTCCGCTTTGATGAAATTAAAGTTCTTTATTAGAAATTTATTTTCATGATGGCATTTTGACCCAAGCTTGGTTCGTTTGTTAAGCAAATTTAATGGTGATGTAATAATGTGGTATTTTTCTGTCAAGCATAAATTGCAAAATTTACCACCAGGTTTAAATGGCTCCGCTTGATCGAGAATATTCCATTTTAGTATAGGTTCTAAAGCTTGTTTTTTGCATTCCTACACAAATTTCAAAAGTTCAGTGGATTTGGTCTTATTTTTATAAACAAAAGAGTTTTTATATTTATTAGTGATGTACTGATATCACTTTTTTGGCGGATACCGATGCCGATGGATGGGAAAAGGCCAATACCGTTGCTGATACCAATGAATTAACTAATTATCAAACAGAGTTGGACCCGGTCTATCTGCTAAGCTTTAGCCTCTTTCCCATCATCGTAAAGTTGTATTTCTTTCTATTTTCTACCAATACCATCATGGTTGCTGCTCAAAGGAGCTTTCATCTCTAATTCCATCAACCAAACTCATTCTTGCTTGACTCATCATTCATCAACTTTTATTTGTCTAGCTTATTTCTCAGCACTTCAACCCTTCGGAACTCTATCCCATTTTCATGTTTTGCTGACTTATACAACCTTCTACTTTTAAAGTCTTCTGTCAACTGTTTCCTTGCTCTATAACTCTACTCTTTTTTTCTAGCAACTCCCAACTTGATAGTGGTTGCTCGCAGTCTTGTTTGGAGTAAAAAAGAATTTAAAAAATATAGATAACAATGCTTAAATAGGTTACTTTTAAAGCTTTTGCCCGTAAACAAAGTCAAAATAAAATTTATCCAAAAAATTTTAAGTAATGCATAAAGTTTAGTTTATTTATTATTTAATTATTATAATAATGCACAATAAAAATATTAAAATGCCATCGGTTGGAAAATCAGTAAAAACAGCCGATGTTGATTAATCGGTACAGTTGTCCACTGTAAAAAACCTTTAAAGACAAGTGGTAAACTTTATTTACCACTTGTCTTTAAAAGTTTTCTCAGTAAGCCCGATGTAATAATATCCTTCTTCTTCTTGGTGAGTTTTTATGTTGCAAATATAAATAAGGTTATTTGTAAGGCATTTTTCTTTAAGTGGGCATAAGGTGGTTTGTTAACAATTCCATAATTGATTGGCATTTTCATGAGAATTAAATATATTTTTATTATGAGAAGTAATAATACTCTTGATGTTTGGAAGGCAGCTATTATTAACCTTTAAGTTGTTTTGATTAAAAAGTTTGTGAAATTTGTGGCCTTTAGGGAAACATTAGTTGTACTCAAAAATGTTTTTGTTACGCTTGTTCTGACGTTGAGCAAATAAGGTGGGTAAAACCAGATAATGTTTCTTTTTCGAGATTTTGTATTATATTTCTGGATATTTGGAATGAAATTCATCTTATCTTTGAATCCACAAGAATTGAGAGATTATAAAATGGTTCTATCAAAAGCTTTTTTGCTTCAAGATATATTACTGATGCAGTTAGAGATCATTTTTGGTATTGATTTAATAATGCTTGGTGAATGAATGGAATTGATGTTGATATATAAAAGATTATCTCCTGGTTTTCTATAAGGTTTAAAAGAGTTCTCAGAATGGTTAAATGTGATATCAAGAAAATTTATGATTTTTAAATTTGGCCTGATAGTGATGTTAAGATTAATATTGTCTTTAAAAATTTTTATTAAATTTTTCTTTATTTTTTCCAATTGAGGACCACTGATATTATAGAAGCAGCAAAGATCATCTCTATATAGACCATATTAGTATTTAAGACCATATTCTTTGGCAATAGTGTATAAGAAATAGAGGCCAACTAGTTTGCATAATTCGGCTCCGTCAAAACCACCCATGGTGAGATCCAAATTAGGGTCTGCCGACATTTTCATCCACATATTATTTTCTGAAAAAAGTAAAGATTTCCTGGTGTGGTAAATAATTTCAAGTGATTTATCAGGAATTTTGGAGAAGTGTATCTTTACTTTTGATATTAACTAATAAAATTTTACTTTTCCAAGTTCAGGTTTAGCTGGATATATTATTCAGCACTGTGTTGGGGAAATTATTCTTTTGATCTTTTAAGGTAATGAATGTTGTATTCATGACTAGGCGCTCTAGCCTATCATCTACGCCCAAGTCTTTTGCTATGATTTTAGCATCTGTGTTAAAGATGTTGTATTGTGTGATATCAGATTTTTATTATAGATAGTTAGTATATTAATAATATTTTCAGTATAAAGTTTATGATATGAAGGTTTATCTAGCTCATACAGGTTTCATGATTTATTGGCAAAGACAAAAACATTACTTGAAGATTTTATTTTTACTATGTCAGTTTGCAGTTGCAAACTGACATAGTAAAAAATCTTCAAGTACATAGACATAGTAAAAATAAAGTTTTACATAATCTTGCTTGATTACAATTCAATATCCAATAATAAGTTTTGCAATAAGTCAGTTAATTCAGTTAATTTTAATTAAGTTTATTTTTTATATAGAAAAAAGAATAATAGTTTTAAAAATAAGTATATTGATTGTTTCTATACTTATAGGCGCGTTTAGCATATTTGGATAAGGCGTTGACTTCGTAAACAGAATGTCTGTGGTTCAAGACCCGCATCTTCCTGAACTTTTTTGTTTTTTTACACAGGCATATAGCCAAATGTTTTTAAAATAAAACAGTAATATCAGAAAAAATTGATTGCAAAATTTGTGTTTAAATAACATATAAAAGCATTGAGTTTAAAAAGTTTGTTTTTAATATTACTTTTTTCATATTGGATGAACCTCTCTTCAAAAGAAAATCTTTCGATTTTTGAAATCGACTATAAAAAAAAATTCAAATGAACTTTTTGACATAGGCTGCAAAAATATTGTAATGAAATCAAAACTTATTGCAACACATCACCTGATGCCATTAAAGAGGACATTGAGTTCTTAACCACTGAAAGTTAACTAGAAAAATGTATTTAACTGAGGATATTGATATAATTTCCCAAAAAAGAAATGAATATAGGAATGAATTAAACAAAAAACTTAAAATATTCATTGAGCATAAAAATTTATTTGAAAATCATATTGTCTCAGATTCTAATACAGAATTATTTAATTTTGAGTCAAATGATGATGTGAAATTATTTTTTTCCATTTGGGTAACAAAGTATCAATAGACATCAATAAATATATCCCATTTGCCATAAATCTATGCAAAGATAGATTTATGGCAAATGGGATATATTTATTGATACTTCAACTAACTCATAAAAAACTGAAATTATGTCAGAGGATGAGATAGAAGATGTCAACAAAATTGCACCTTTTGTAGCAATATTTTACATTTCTTGGTTTCTGAAACCATCATAATCCAGGTACCATCTAATGATCTCAAAGCTATTAAAGTAACTGAAAGCATAGAGGAAGAAGACAAATACTAGGCAAAAGTCTGACATTCTCTTCTCAGCTATACATAGTACTTGGCTTAAGATGTTATAGTATCATTAGCAGATCTAGGTGTAACTAATGAAGAGAAATTCCTAATGGTACAGAAATTTATTAATTATTAAAATAGATTGGAAAGGAATAGGTTAATTAGAAAATGAAGAAGCAGTATTAAAATGGTGGAGCGCTAATAAGAATTACTATCATCGTATATGCTGTATAGCAAGAAAACTTCTGTCAGCCCCTGCTTCATCTGTTTATTCAGAGAGACTGTTCTCAGAGGCAGGTAACATTTTTGAGGAAGAAAGAGCTAGTTTGTTGCCAAAAATGGAAAAGCAACTGTTATTTTTGCACCACAATATTCCTAAATTTCCAGAAATCCTTAGTTAATTGATTAGTGCCCACTAATTAAGTAAAGATTTCTGGAAAATTAAGAATATTATGTTCAAAAAGTGGTGATAGAAAATAATTAGTAATAAAGTAACTGAAAGCATAGAGAAAGAAGACAAATACTATGCAAAAGTTTGACATTCTCTTCTCAGCTATACATAGTATATTTTTATATACTATAATATTTTTTTCATATTTTTCATGTTCGATCTTAATATACAAATTATATTGTATTGGATTTCTGAAAAAAATTTGTAGACCTTCATCTCAGCTTCAAGTTTTTTAAAGATTTTGTTTCAATTATTCAGTGCACAAATGACTGCTCTGAAAGAAATATTTGTCTTGTTCAAGATTTCCTGGCAGACAGTCATAATAAAAATCAGATACAATACATCACGGTGGTTGCTAAAGAGAAAAAGTATGGATAAAAGAATGAAAAAGAGTGACTTGAACAATATAACTCCTTAGCAAAAAAGTATTTTAGATTAAATATAAACTTTTTTCAACTTTAATCAAACAAAAAATATTTTGAACCAAAATAAACCGTTTTTTCTTTGGATTGTTTTATTATTTAAATATTAGACATTTTTAAGAAAAATGAAAATCTACACATAACACTTCCTGAAGGTTTATAGACCTAAAATTTTGTATTTTTGTTTTATTTAAGGTATACAACCAGAATGTGTTTCGAACCTTTTGGTTCTGTGAAAGTGTTGTTATTTGGGCACACCCTTATATATATATATATATATATATATATATATATATATATATATATATATATATATATATATATATATATATATATATATATATATATATATATATATATATTAAATATATATATTAAATATATATATTAAATATATATATATATATATATATATATATATATATATATATATATATAATATTTTTCAGCAAACATTTTAATGTTGTAATTGTGTTTTTTACAGGAATTGTTCTTGCAATAGTGGGTGCATTTCTACTTATTACATTTTCAAATAAAGTATGTTAAGTTATTACAATAAAGTATGTTAAGTTATCAGAAAAATCTTTTTAAATGCAAACAACTTTTTTAATGTGTTTAATTTTTATTAGAACGACACAATGCTATCTGCTCAGGAAATATTAGTTTACATCAAGCAATGGTCATTTTTAGTTTACATGGTAACTTATAATTATAAAGTTAATATATAAGTATATTTTTTAGTTTGCGTTTATAAACTAGTAGTTTGTTGCCTTTTATGCACTTTGAAAATTTATAGCATTTTTTTTGTACTTACTAAATTCATAGTGTTAATATATGTGTTAATATTCAAAGTGTTAATATATGTGTTAATAATATTCATCGTGTAAATATGTGTTAATATTCATAGTTTTCATATGTTAATATTCATAGTGTTCATATGTTCATAAGCTTTAGAAATTTTAGGTTTTTGCGTTTGTTATTTTTTTGTTTTTTTGTTTTTAGGGATTAGAGATTGTTGCATTTATTGTTTTTTTGTTTTGGGATAAATACTATGAGGTTGGGAAAATAATTGTTATATTACTTCAAGTTGCTATTTTAGGTATAATACATTTCTTTAGTTGTTCTCTTTGCATTGACATATTTTTTGTTTTGTTTTAGTTAGTTCTTATATATATATATATATATATATATAAATATATATATATATATATAAATATATATATATATATATATATATATATATATATATATATATATATATATATATATATATATGAATATATATATATATATATATATATATATATATATATATATATATATATATATATATATATATATATATATATATATATATATATATATATATATATATATATATTGGTTACATGCTACTTCTTTATTATTTGCAACTTTTACACTTTCAAGGTTCATTTACTGTTATTACAGCAAAAGCTGTGTCTTCTATGTTAACTATAACTTTTCGTGGATATAGTCAATTAAATCAACCTATATTTTACATTATGTTTGCAATTATGGTAGCAACAGCTGTTGCTCAAGTTAGGTAAATATAAAAAAAAATTTAAACTTTAAAGTTTTTGTATGCTTTATTACACATTTGATTTTTTGTTCTGTTTTTTTTTTAGATTTCTAAGTAAAGCTATGTCTCTTTTTGACACAACTATGGTTGTTCCTACTAATTTTGTATTTTTTACCATGTCAGCCATCATTGGTGGTTAGTATTTCAAATTTTCTAATAATATATATCGCTAGTGAGGAGAAAACTTATGTTTATTTTTTATTTTTTTTTTAGGCATTGTGTTTTACAGGGAGTTTTATGGACTTCTGTTTTTAGATATTTTTATGTTTTTATTTGGGTATGTTTATTTTTAATTAATTTTTTATGTGATTAAGTATGTTTTTTTAAATATTTTTATTTTCATATGATTTTTATTATAACTTTATAAATAATTTGAAATTTAATGTTAATTATAGCGCATTTCTTTCATTTGGCGGCGTCTATCTTATCACAGCTGAAAGGAAAAAAGTAGATGTACCGTCTTCTGAAGATGAAAATGTAGTTTTAATCCCTTGTAAGTAAATCCATTTATAATCATATAAACACATCAAAATTTAAAACCATGTAAGGAGGTTTTTTTAATCAGAGAGTTTTTTTAATCATAAATAAGACAAAAAAAGAAAAGAAAAAAAAAATAGTTAAAAAAAGTTAATTCTTTTTAAAAAAAGTTAATTTTTTTTTTTTTTTTTAATTTTTTTTTTGCTGTAGTTTTCAAATTAAAAAACTTAAAAAATCAATGGAAAAAAAAAATTGTAATTAATTTTTTAAGAAAATTTAGTGTTAAATATTTTACCCTTATAAAAGCAGCGGATTAAATTGATTTTTCCTTTTTTTTAATCTATAAAATAAGTCGGAAAAAGTAAAAATTTGTAAAAAGTAAAAATACATCAACTTCAAGGAACAAATCTCTTTAAATTAAGACCCTACATATGGCTTTATATGTCCAGAATAAAACCTACTATGTTAATAATTAGAATATTGATCTCACAAATGAGTATAAGCTATAAAAGAATTGAGAAAAAAACGCATGACTTAAAACAATAAACTGTGCGACTAAGTTCATTATAGAACATAATATGTAAATCATAACAATTTCTTTTTTATTAAATTTATTGCAAATTAGTGGAATGCATTGTAGAGGAGAGTATGCACCCATGATCCTAAAAATCTATCAGGCCAACTTACTGAATATATGTTTTTACTTCAATCTCTAAAATAACAGTACATAATAGCAAATTTTATACCTTTTTTTACCAGAATATTTTAAGTAGATTTAAAATTATAAAAACTAAGAATGCTCAATTAGGATCATGGGTGCATACCAGTATGCTCCCTTGATCCTACCTATATGCACCCTTGATCCTATGTATGTATACTTGATTCGAGATCAAATGTATACCATGATTGTATAAGAATAATTTTTAAGTCATCAAAACAATGTCTATAATAAAAACCAATAAAGTTATTATTAATTTTACTACAAATTTATCTTTCTTAAAAAAGTAAAAATTAATGAAAAAAATATTATTTTTTACTGAGACTCAACGTTTTTATTTTCATTACTTTCAAGATCAAGTTTTCTTTTTCTTGTCATGAAGATCTTATTTTGCATTTCATGTTTTTTCTTTTTTGACTGAAATTTTTTTTTTATTTCCTGAAGCTTATTTAACTCATTTCGAACAGGAGTGTCTGTGAGTATTCGAGTACGCTGACGTTTACGTCCTTTAATGGATTTCCTTGATCCAGTTTTTGGAAATGGCCTAATTTTTTCTAGACTTGCTTGATGAGAGATATTATTAGAAACACTGGATAGTTGACTTCCAGGGTCAGATATAGGCTGAATAGGCAATACACTACAAGCTGAACCAGATGACAGACTTGACATCAATGATTGATTAAAAGCTGGGGCATGAACTGGATCAACAACACCTGGAAAAGGGTTAGCAGTAATAGGTTCTGGACGGTCTGTTACATATGAAGACAAAAACTCATTATCAGAAAATATGTTAGGATTAAAGGGTTCAATTCCTGCCACAGCAAATCCTGCAAAAAATGTTAGACAAAGTAAAAGCTTGTGCATAGGCTTTCCTTACAACTGAAGCTATATCATATATGGTCATCGGTCTTGGATTAGATACAATCCAATCATCACAGTCTGCATTGTAATAACGTTTCAGTGGCCCATAAACTGACTGATCTAATGGCTGCAACTTGTGACTACAATGTGGTGGAAAGGACAGCATAGTTATGCCATTTTTTTTAGCTAAATCTAAACACACAATTGAAACAACACTCTCGTGGTTGTCAAGAAGTAAAAGCACTGGATTAGCTGGTGAGCATTTCACATTTTGAATAAAATGTTTCATCCACTCTAAAAACGTTGCAACATTCATCCAACCAGATGGGTTTGCAACCCCAACACATCCAGGTGGACCACCATTTATCATACTTCCTTTGAAATGAACTCTTGGAAAAATAAAAAATGGAGGGATTGAGTTTCCTATTGCATTGACTGCACAACAATCTGTTACCAATGTCCTTCTTTCTGCTGAAGTTATCCTTCCAACTTGTTTATCTCTTTTTTTAGCAATTACTTTAACTGGTTTTTGAACAGTTGTGAGACCTGTCTCATCAACATTATATATGTTTTGTGGCTGAAACTTGTGTCGTAGAAGAACATCTTTTAGATTGGTAAAAAATTCTCTGACTGTATAACAATTAAAAGCAGTTGCTCGTGCCATACTAGTAGCCTCTGGATTTCTTTAATATAACTCATTCCTACGTAACATAAAACCACGAAGCCATTGTTTCCCAGCAATTTGTAAACTTTTCCACGATTTAGGAATGCGCTTAGAAAGAGTCATTGCAAATTCATAGGCAAGTTTTCGTGTTGTTTTGGTTGATAATCCATAGTGAAGTTTTGAGGCCCTTAAAAGATAATCTGATAAAGATGTTTCTTCTTCGTTGGTAAAGATTTGCATGGTAATGAAGTTAGGTTTACAGACTGTATATGGATTTAATTGACATTTCCTTACATATCTCTTAAGTGTCATTAAATTGATTCCCCTCTCTTTAGATACACGATAAACTGTACTACCATTAAGAACTGCATTAACAGCTGCTTGCATTTCATTCTCATTAACTTTACCTCTAGGTAGTCTATTGGTTTTTCGTTTTTTATGATACACCATATTTAACTGTAAAAAAGTGAAACATATTTATATAGTTTTGCTATATTCCTAATTTTTGGATAAACATTTATAAAGATTTTTACTTACTAAAATCTTCTTTATTAACAAACACACACAGATATATATATATATATATATATATATATATATATATATATATATATATATATATATATATATATATATATATATATATATATATATATATATATATATGTATATGTATATATATATATATATATATATATATATATATATATATATATATATTTTTAATTCACCTCCTCAAGGCCGAGAAGGCCACTACAGACGAGGAGGCTACTTATTTGTGGTTATAACCCTCTCTCAACTCTATAACTCCGAAACACGAACCTTGACGAACAAGGCCGCTGCGCGGAGAAACGAGTTGAGCGCGGTACTACCAGGGACGTGATGGGGATCGAACTCGGAACCACTCGTTTATGAAGCGAGCGCTCTACCACTACACCACTACCGCATTAGGGTTATATATATATATATATATATATATATATATATATATATATATATATATATATATATATATATATATATATATATATATATTTTTAATTCACCTCCTCAAGGCCGAGAAGGCCACTACAGACGAGGAGGCTACTTATTTGTGGTTATAACCCTCTCTCAACTCTATAACTCCGAAACACGAACCTTGACGAACAAGGCCGCTGCGCGGAGAAACGAGTTGAGCGCGGTACTACCAGGGACGTGATGGGGATCGAACTCGGAACCACTCGTTTATGAAGCGAGCGCTCTACCACTACACCACTACCGCATTAGGGTATATATATATATATATATATATATATATATATATATATATATATATATATATATATATATATATATATATATATTGAATACTTTACAATTATATTATATAAAAGTTTTAGGAGAACAAAAAAATACAAAATAGTATAAAATCTTCATTTTAAGGCTTTATTCTAGAAGAAAAAAATATATTTAAAAACAATATGACGTATTGTACATGTTACTTTAAAAGTTAAATATTTTGTGTGTGTGTGTGTATGCACCTTTGATCATAGGATCAAAGGTGCATAAACGCATTAGGATCAAGGGTGCTAACCCGCTCCATTTTTACAAAAATTCTTTTTTGGTCATATTAGATGCTTCTATAGCTTACCAAAAGCAACCATACAAGAGGTGAATAGTTAAGTTACAAAATGACATAAGCAAAATTATTCAACTTAAAAAAATATTAAAGATGTGAGGTTCCTTGTTAAAGTAAAAAAAATACTTTTTTTCGTCAAAATCAAACTATTTAGAAATAAATTTAATAGTGGTCTATTCTTTAACCAAAACACAATTAATTTTGAAGATACAATATTTATAACACGCTGGTTATCAGCCCTCTTTAAAAAGTTATGTAAGTATGGAGATAACGCTATAGGATCAAAGGTGCTTACGGATCAAGGGTGCAAGTTCTCCCTACTTTGACTTGGCGAAACCATAGTATGTCAACTCATTCTAAATTCAATTAATACAAACTTTTATAGTTAACTAGCTAATAATTAAATTTTATTTAAAAAAGGAATAATTAAAAAAAACATTAATTATAAAAAATATTTAAAAATAAAGTTAATATAAAATTGATCACATACATACATACATACATACATACATACATACATACATACATACATACATACATTCATACATACGCACATACATATATACATACATATATACATACATACATACATACATACATACATACATACATACATACATACATACATACATACATACATTCATACATACGCACATACATATATACATACATATATGCGTACTGTAACATAGTGTTATAGAATCTTATACATTTGTAAAACCTCCTTCGTGTGTTTCAATTTACCACTTTCTGCACTTTATTGCACTTTATTAGTTAAAAATGACTCATTACTACACTGATGACGATTTTATGACATTTAACAGGCACACCAACTATTACAACGAATGATTTGGTGGCTACTTCCTTACAACTTCATGAAGTGTATGACAACCCCGCTCTATTAGGTTTTGATGGAATAGAGGAAAAATCTGATTTTGTAACGAGTTAACATTTGTATTTTTTTAAATATTGGTTGTATTTATTTTTTAACTGAAATACTTTTTATTATAAAATTTATTTAAATTTTTAAATTAGTAAGCATCGACGTTAGGTAAGCATCGCCGTTTATTTGTGCCTAAATTTAACTTAAAAAAGTTAAAATGTTTAAGTTTTTTCATTTTTCATAAAATTCATAATCATCTGACTAACGAACTGTTAAATAATTGTTAGATACGCGTTTAACATAAAAATTAACGCGCTAACTTAAATTAAAACAATTATGAACAAACAGTATCGACAGTGATAACAAAATGAGGAAGTAAAGATATTGTAATGATGCCGTGCTTTTTATTTTAATATTCAAATGTTAATTGCGTTTATCATAATAGAATCACATGAAATTAGTTATATTAACAAAAGCTAAGTAGTGGCTTAGCTTTTGTTAATATATTTTATTGCTTTGCTTTTTTTTATTTTTAATAATAATAATAATATAAATTGTTGCTTTTTGTGTTACCAATAGTGAGGTACAAAAAAATTCAGCTGTAAATCTAGTTTTCATAATGTCTTAAATTCACTATTTAAATTACGTTAAAAGTTAAAAAAAATAGCTTTACAAGACTGTTTGTTTTCTTACAGTAAAACGCAAGTTCTAGCGCTTGTTCAGCAAAACAAAAATGTTTGTTCCTTGATATGGTGCAAAGTTGCAACTGTAAAGGTGCGACCAACCGGCTTTGATAAAGTGAATATATTTAATTTTTTCATATTTTTAATTTATAAAATATTAAGCATATATTTAATTTATTCTGAATTATTAAAATTCCTTATTTTGTAATGTAGTTGTTTGTATATAATATTTAAAATGTTGTAACTCATTATTGTAAATAATTTCAGTATACACTTTTGTTTTCTCTTTATGCTTTAATTTTTTTTCACAACATAAATGATTATATTTATTAAGTTGTATAGGTATTTATTAGTTTATATAGTTTATATATTATAGATGAATATCAAAACCACGCTGGATTTGGTATTTTGCTCTTAGTGTTTTAGCAGCTTTTTTAATATTTTATTTATTTTAATATTTATAGCTTATTTAATATTTAAAACGACGTATTTACTAATAATTTATACTATTTGTAAATGCAAACTGCGAACCATTAAAATGCGAACTATGAACCGTCAAATGCGAATTTTTTTGCGAACCATGATCTTGATGATAGTTGATAATGTAGTAGTTTTTCTTACCAATTTTTAGACTAGTCATGACCATAGCGCTCTCTTAGTAAAAGGCCGTCATAAGGAAAATTTAGAGAAAAAAATTAGGGTACAAATGCTCTCAAAAAAAAAAAGTTGAGGTTTGACTTCTCGGTGTAGTTAAAGCGATTTACAAAATATTCAAATACTTTTATTTGGAATTAGCATAATTTTGTCAGCATATTATATCCAAACAAGGTCTTTAAATGCTATAATTTTTTTTTGCTTAAGGTTTTTATAATAATTAAGGTATAAGACCCCTCAAAAAAAAAATTATTAAAAAAAGTTTTTTAACAAAAAAACAATTTTATCTTGAGAAACAACTAGATAAAAGGATTTAAGAAAATAGAAAATAAATTTATTAATTGTCAAGCAAAATGGCCGACATTTAAAAATATTTAAGTTACCCCGGCCAAGCTATCTCAGTAACTGAAAGCATGTAGGTTATGAATTTTTTGCATATGGTTAATAACATATTGATCTACAAACTGAACTAAATTTATTTAAAAAAACTTAGTACTTGACCTATAATGAAATTTTCAAAATGGCGTACTAAAAATATGATTTTTTTGTAACTTGAAACTTCTATAAATCAAAAACTCTTGATTACATTAAAAAACTTTTAGTTCCAATTGTACAACCAGATGCAATAAACATTTGGTGAAAATTTCATACAAATTTAACTTACGGTTAATGAGATAGGATGGCCGGGAGGTCAAAAATTTACATTTTGAGAAAAACTCGTTTGAATATTATATTCATAAATTTTCATAATATTTTCTCTCGTATACTCAATTGAAAAACTTTTATTTATATGAGCATGAACCAGGGTCATAAAGACATCCATCTTGATCATTCTCTGCATCATCCTTTTTTTTTTTGCATCCACGAATAACTTTTCGTCGCTTTTTAGATGTAATCCGATTTTGATATTCTGCAAAAATTAAGCGCTTTTTGTTCATGGTTGAACAGCCTTGGAGAGTATAAATACCAGGAATCATATTCAACTTTTCAAACAAAAGTATGCTTGCTTTTCTTCCAAATTAAAATTTGAAACAGCATCATAAACTCCTAACTCCAACTGCGTTAATGAAACATACTTTGTTTTAGGTATGCGCTGCCATATTATTCCATTAAAACTTTCATTCTGGTTTTGGGTTTTACCATGAAGGCATTTTTTTAAGAGTTTTTCTTGAGATAAATCTATATATATAGGCTTTAGATGACTGACAACTGAGAGTGGAAGACCAGCACCTGGCTTGTAGGTAGACGTTAAATTAGCTTTATCCTGTTTATAACGACACCAACTATTGATGCCATCTGGGCAATGAGCATGTCAATTATTTTCAGCTGATGATGCAACATGAAACAATGTTGCAAGTATGACCTTTTTCATACCTTCTAAATCATTGACATTTTGCCTAACAGCAATTCCATAGTAGTTTTGTAGGCGATCAATTATAGCATTTGTTAATTTGCTTTTGCTTTCAAGTCCTTTTACATTTTTTTTCAAAATTCGCAATCTGCTACCAACACGTTTCTGTACATGTACAACACACTCCAACTTACACACTGTTATACCAGGATAAGTATCTTTAACATACGAATAGCTTTTACAATCACCGTCACCATAATACTTTACATACCTCAGTTTATTTTGTGAAATAGAACGGCTAAATATTCTTTGAACACTAGTTACTTCCATTCCAGGAGCAGAGCCACGATAATTTAGTTTACATACATGTGATGATTTCCAAGCTTCAAAGGCATTTGGGTTATTTTCTTTAAGTTTTAGTTTTAAACTACGTGCTTTACATGATCGACTCATTGGTTCACAATCAAGAATTTTACCTGTGTCCATTGATATAGCAGTAACCACTCCATTTAATAAGGAAAATCCACGACGTTGCCAGCTACCATCAACTGATACTGCAGTATCAACAATATTTGAAGAAGATTGACAAATATCTTTAACAACGTCAGACATTGTTTCTTTTGCAACAACTTTAGCACAATCAGAGACATGTTTAATTATTTTGTTGTAATTATTGTAATTAGTCATTGGTGTAGGAATGTTTATTAAAGAAGTAAATTTTTCTAGTCCTGAATAACCTTGACCACATGCACGCATAGAATAAATTATTCTATTATTTACATCAAAATTTTTTTTCCCAGAGCATGTCTTTGAAGTATAAAATTCAATTTTTTTGTTGCAATTAGGGCAGCATATATTCAACATCAAGCTAAAAACTTTTTTTTTAGGAAAACATTCTTCAAGAAATAATCCAGATTGTAAACAATTTTTGCAACATAATTGACTTATTACACCAGATAAAATTTCAATGTCAATAATACGATAACCAACAGTTTTATTATTAATTTGATGTGGTGTTTCAATTTTTTCAACTTTTTTCGAGGATATAGATAAATCTAATGAACTATTATTGAAAATAAGGTCATTTTCAGAACAGGACCTAATGATAAAGTTGAATTGTTTGTCAAATTTTTGGTATACCTATTTCCATGAAATCTTCTGGATTTTTTACTTTGAGTACTTTGTTTAACTCTGCATAATTTACCCATTATTGAAAAAGTTTATTAAATAACACAAAAATAACTAAATAGCTGGCAATTCTTATAAAAAACCCGTTGCTATGCGTGTTGCTAAGCAGATCAAATTTACCCAGTTAAAGGAAACCTTTTATATCTCAAGAACTAAGCCTTATTTTTACAAAATGTTTTCAAATTCGGATTCAGCGATAAATTTCGTGTAAGAAATACACAAATTATTTTTTTTGATTTTTTTAGGAATTTTGAGGGGTCTTATACCTTAAAGAAACTTTTCTTTTTTTTATATAATTTTCAAAACCTTTTTACTACCCGTAAGAGTGTATTTAAAGAACACTATTTTGGAGTCTTTAGATCAATTCCGCTCATCGGCATTAATATGAATTTAGTTAAGATCTTTTGAAAAAGTTCCTTAATTTACTACTGATCCTAGTTTTAATCGGTTCTGACGTATATTAACTATATATAGTTGTCAAAACACAATATTTTTCAATTTTCACAAAAAATACTAAAATTCCGACCAAGAAAGAGCTTAAAATTATAGAAAATTGCCAATAAACGATCAGAACAGATCATCTTGTTAAACTATAATGTTCATTTCACCTAAAAAAATGTATTAATATAAAATCTTATTCAAATTTAGACGAGCGATTGTGATTTTAAGATGATTTTTTTTAAAAGCTACAAACATTTATATTTTATGATACTGCAAAATTTATCATTTTAAGTTTTTTCGTCTTTTCATAATTCGCAGACCAAATCATTTAACGGAAAAATGTCGCAGTCAACAAAATATCATACAGACGCTCTAATTTTTGTGTCTTAACTACACCAAGTTAGGGAAAAAAAGTTCATTGAGACATTAAATATTTATTTTGAAACAAAAAAAAAATTTGCATAAAATTTTATTTTGTTTCAAAATTCTTTATAAGATTTAGATCTAATACTTTTGTTAATTTTTGATAAAAAACAAAATGTACCAAGTAAGTCGTCATTCATTCTGGATCAAACTTTTGTCACAAATAATCCTTCAGCATAAAAGACTCGCTTAGACTCAATACTTATTGGAGGGATAGTCTTCAGTGCATTTAAACAAAAGTTCAAGATTTGCAGTTTTTTTTCCAATAGTTTCATAGACCAACATTTCTTTTGAAATGGCTTTGAATTTGTCGTTTGAATTGTGACGTTGTTTTTCGACCAAATGCTGAATTACTTCTTCGAGTTCATCTTTAACTGAAAATGGATATTTGTTAAGATTTTTATGAGCCTCGCACTTCTTCAATAAATTTATCTGAAGTCGTTGGGAAAAGCTTATATAGCAAATATTTGGCAGTCTTTTAAAGTTTAAAGGCATTTTGAAAATTTCATGTTCTTCAATGTTAGATAAACATTCTGGATAGGAAAGTTATTTTTATAAGTTTACAAGATTGCTCTGCTTTTCCTCTTCAAAACGTTTCGAAATATATATAAATTACTTAAAAACAAAAACACCTTTAAACGAAAAATTATACAAAGATTACAAACATCTACTTGAAAAAACTCGTAAAAACTTGAAACTATTTGGTACTTTTTATTATAATTTTTGTTGTATACTTAGTTGCTAATGTTTTATGTTATATATTATAGCCACTGCATTATTATTTCTCATCTCTTTGAATTTATTACTATTTTACATTAATGTTTACAAGCTATATTTTTTTAAATCATTCTGAATATAACTAAATTGTTTTACACTCCTAATACCGTATTATGCCATCTAAGAATATTCAGTTTGGTTCTCTTTCTGACCTTAAGCTTGACCAAACATTATTGGACAAGAATTCTAATTTACAATATTCTCTTGACACTACATCAAGTCCACGAAATTCAATTTCAGATCTAAATAATCCCCAAGATTAAATTAATTGATTTCTGTAATTGGTTTGGATTTGGGTTTGCAAATGTGATCTAAAAGAAAAAAAAAAAAAAAAAAAAATCCAAAATTTGTGATTTTTGTATATAAAGTGTGGGAGCTGGCGGCGAGCCAAACAATTCTTAGGAGCCGGAGCTGAATTGTAAAAAAAACTTTCTG